ACACACACACACACACACAGACAAGTTTATCCTATGGCGATTAATTCGGATTCCTTAATGGATGATAATTGAAGGGACGGCTTTCCTCTCCGAGGACTAAGGCAGCGACTAACTCTTTTCGGCCGTCTCTGATGATACTCACGGACGATTTCGGCCGTGCAGAGGTTAATAGTTCACGAGAAAGCGTCATGTTGCTTTCGAGAAAATGTAACGGGAGACTTTCTCAGGTAGCTAAGAACAACAATTGTTGCGTAATTCGCGAAACGTTATTATTAAAGATTATTTCAAATATAAGACTTTTTGCTATCTCACAGTAATAAAAGAGGAAAATATGTTGAAAATGCTGCTTCTGATCTTCCATATTTGATGGGACACAAAAAATAAACAATTGCACAAAATCAAACAAAATTTTTTACAAATAAGCCTTAAAATGTCAAAATATATAATGATAATACGGTTTAGAATAAAAATGGTGGGAAAAATACGACTAATCTGTCTAGTGGTAAAAAAAACGAAATTACTTTCTGAACAGCCTAATAAAAAGATGCTTTCTCACAATATCACGACCTATTGTTGTAAGTTTGTCAGTTGAATATAGCAACAGACCAATCTTAGAGGCCGTCGTCCTTTGTCCTACCAACGGTGCAGTTGACTGTTTTTTGAGATTAAACATTACCTGAGTGGAATTTTGTGCCTATTGCCTCCTACTCCTTCATCTTTTGAACCCAGATTGGATTACCTAATTATCGACACCTTAGTGAGTGCTTTGGATTACCTGAGCAGCGAATTGACTTTATTATACGCCCAACCGAACTTTTCCCTCCAAAGATCACAGAAAGTACCCGTTCCGGAAATCACCAAAGGACCAATCCATCAGGCATCTATCATTATGTGAACTCTCTCTTACCGCGGAAGCCGATTATCCCTCTTTAACGAGGAACATATTTCCTGTATTCAATGTCTTCTATTACTATTAAATGTTATTTTGTTACCCTACTCTGTGTAATCACTTTCAGTGTGCTGCCTCTCTCTCTCACTCCATCCAGAATCAGATCGTTTAGTAACGTGGCCGCTCGTGTGACCTATTTCAAAATTGCCGTCTTGGCTTCCGGGTCAAGCAAGATCCGGTGGTGTCATCCTGACAAGGCATTGAGGAGGTGCCGACCCTTCAGTCACAGAGTAATGAAAATCACATCTGAGAAATAAAGAACATTGAAGATATAATAGAATCAACTCTGTTTTTTATGAACATTACACAATGCATAACTGCAAAATAGATAGGAATGATGTTATAATAGTACACAAGGAAAAAAATTGGTACAAAAGAAAATTTAAGGAAAGCTATGAAATTACTACAGACAAAAATAATATTAACAAGAATCTAAGCATAGAAATTCATAAAAACTGGCTACAACTATTAAAATAGAATGTTGCACAGTCGCAGGTGGGGCTGTGTGTGGCACTTGGGGAGTGAGATGTTTCATGTTACGAGGCATGCGGGAGAGGCTGTCAAGTTGGAAGGGAAGGGAAGGGGAGTGGGAAGACATAGTGCAAAAGGTGCCTGACAGATGTCCACAAGATACAACCTATGTAACAGACTGAAGAGGGGCAAAAGCCCAAAACGTGTGTCTATATGGATTAAAAGTTGATGATGAAATTATTTGCC